TCAATAGTAAATCACACCCACACAGAAAAGGAGAGAATACTGCTGGACAAGAGTGGGAAGTGAGCCTATCATTTGAGGAATCTCTTTCACAATCGGCGCTGGCTCTAAATACCTCTGTTTAATTGCTGTGTCATGACAGGATAATTACCACTGTCATTCCAACCATTCAAGGGGACTAACAGGCCTGCAGACTACCTAACACTTTTTGCCTGTTGGCATGGTTCTGCAGGGAACTGTGGAAGAGTCAGGGTGGCATTTAAAGATAAGTGGCTGTGAACATTAAAAGAAGGAGTGATGTGCTGCCTCAAAGCTTACACTGACACTTGTTCATTTGTGCTAATGTACTCCTCACACCTTGCAAGACCACAGCAACACCATCAATGAGTCAGATGTGATATAGTTTTAACAAAGTTCAAATCCAGACTGGATTGCATTCAGATTACAACACGACTGTGCATTCCATAGCTTTTGTGTGATAGTTGCCATACTGTAAATGTGTGTCAATAATTGTTTGTAGAAAGTTATTCTAACTATATTCTCTTCTTTTGTTCTTTTTTTTGATCTCTAATAAATACACTGATGCACTTGTCATGGGACTTTGTCAAAAACCCCTGCACACATTATAAATGCAGTGTGTAAAACCTGCATTTTAAATGTGATTGCTAAGACATGGTGACATTCTGCATGAGCTTATATCAACATCAGCTGTCCTGAGAGCTGCTCTCACATTGCTGACAACTCCTACAATGCATGAAGACATTAGTCGCACGCAGGGTGCCCAGTTTAATTTAGAAAGAGTTAGAAAAAAAGGAAGAAAAGCGAAAGAAAGGTGCATTGTTGTGAGTTTCACATGGACTGAAGAAATCAGCATGTTTCACAGCATTATTGGCAGGCTACGCATGCATGCTCGTTTGCACAGGCAAAGTGGTCCCTGGAGCTGGATGCATTTCAGGTGCTAAAAGGAGAAGCATAAGCCATCATTGATAGAGAGGGCTTTAGGAAATGCAGCATGGAAACAAAAGCTGATCGATAACTATGTGGTCAATAACCTTAATGATCAATAACCTGTCCACCTACACAAAGGACATAAATATTTCACACTATTGGATTCTTTTTTTCTTCACAAAGCAGCGTTGACAATGAGAAATGTTTGGCCATGTATTGTTCGCACAAGTGAATTGTTTTATCATTGACACAGAGTTGATGGTGTTACTTTATAGGCCCATTATTGAACTGACCTCCTCACTGATTTATTGATGTGGGATTTAAATGTGCAACCGAAGAGAAATCAACTCGGCAACAATGTCAATACTCGCCATGAGTAAATGTATCAGTGAGCACCTTTGTACGACGTTTTTAGACTGCAAATCACACGGAAAGCTTAATTTATCGCGGCAAGTCTTCTCCTTAAGGAATTTGATATCTTGCCCTCGGGTCAGAGATACATGTGCAACAGATTTAAATTCATCATACGTTTACTTCCACATAACATTCTTAACAGACATTTTTCACAGCAGCCTTTTTTAAAGGAATAACACAGGTGTTACCAATGATTCTGGTTAAGGTTCTGTTCCATTTAGTGTAGCAGAGCCTTTCCATTGAGCCAACATGCACAATAGCTGTACCCGACTCGGTTTGACCTGAATGGAACGGAACCTTAATTAGTATCATTGGTAACACCTGTGTTTACCCTACTGTTTCATGTCAAAATGGCTGCAACTTAGCAGTTTCTCTTATTTTACCTTACCCATATTTTTGCTTTGGTCATTTTTAAAGTTCTGCATTGTTTCAATGGTATCAGCACTTTTAATGTCTTTAATGTAACTTATTTTAGCTGTATGATGTCTTCTTGAATTCAAACTGAGGTGTGATGTTTGCTGTGGCAAAACATCTATTTAACTTAGAAAAACTGTAGTAATGTGATGATGCATGGAATAACAAGCTGGACCTTCTGACACTCACTGCTGGACCTTTTTGGGCCTGTGTGCTGACCCAAGACATTAACTTCTGAATGATTCCTCAACAAAAGCACCTCTGTGGGTTCATTGCCATGTGCACTAAGTCAGTTAGAATACGGCTCGCGTCACTGTTGAGAGAAAGGAAAATCATTCACTCATGAGCACATCTCATCTCGGCTACGCATGACTTCAATAAAACGTGACTCTGCACATGATCTATTTGTGTTACACACTTTTGATTTTGCAGATTATCTTGTAGCATGGTTCAGACAAACACTGTATAACTGGATTTTATGAGCTCAGAGCATTGAACACTCATATTTTCACACTTATCTGTGGTTGAGGTGTAAATAAGGCTGATTTATATAAGCTACATATTGTAGAAGTGGAGATATTTACTGGCAGGGCTGAGCTCAGCAGGGCTACCGCAAAAACATATACTACAGACAAACAGCTTTTTGGTCTAAATGAGGTGTTGATTATAATACAATACCCCTCATCAGGAAACAGAAACACTCTGCAGATCCAACAGTTGGTTCTCCTATTTATAGCGTTGGGAGAGAGTTGTTACTTTTCACAAATGTGGACTGGATTGTGTAGGAACATAGAATTATCCAAAATGAAATTACTGCAGTTGTGTTTGCCAAACAGAGATTTTACAGCCAGAACATTCACCTTGATATCATCTTCCATTTAATGTTTGTTTCACACAGTGGCATCATTTTCTATCATCATGTATATAAGATATGTTGATTATGCTGGGAGTTCTTCCAAAAGATCACACCAATAACAAAATGTTCTTTATGATTATATTTATCTGATGAGCCTTTTGGTATATTTATCTTCTGTTTAAATTCATACGTCCAGTGAATTTACCAAAAAGACAAAATAATAAGATTGTAATGCCATCTAGTGGATACATCACACATTGAAAACAGTATCCTCCAAAAACATAGAGGTGATGAGTATAGCAGGGTACAGTACAGGTATATACAGGCCTATTCACTAAAACATATTGCTATGAGAGGCTTTTCTTCTGCTAGACTAGATTTCTCCTCTGTTTGAACTGTAGTTTGAACAAGAGAGCTTGGATACTTACTTAAACTTGGATTTAAATTATAAACAGGGATACATTTAATGTTTGCTTGAACAACTTCCAGTCATATCTTTAGTCCTGATACTTAATTGTACCTGTGATTCCATGTCTGATATTGGTTGGAGTATGTTATTATGGTATGAAGGAGGGGAGACATTTTACATGCCTGTACCCAGAGGCACATAGTCTCATAATCCATCCATTCTACTCATTTTTTGTTGATTGCTTCTATAAAATTAAAATAACTTTAATCGTCTGTACTGTGAAAATATGACTTTCTTGTCCGTGTCAGTTACATGCTTTAAAAACATGCAATTGTTGCTGAATGTTTGAGCATACATGCACACACTGTAGTGTTCATGTGGTACTTTTCATTATTGATCTTGGGCAGTTTGACCAAAAAATCTCAGTACAAATTTCCACATTCTGGAAATTTTCCACAGCTCTCAACCACATCTCTTGGCCTCCATCAGCGAGTGGAGTTTGCTCAGTTGCCAAGGAGATGGTTCCGTTGTAATCACGTGAACTAAGTATGAAATTTCAGCCACATGATCAGATCAGGATCACATCATCACATGACACAACTAGAGAGAGAATATCTCTGTGCTCTGTGACCACCCTTAAACAATGCCTTTGTATTTTAATGATCCCTGCATTCTGATCTGTATCTGTGATAAAGTGCACTGTGAATATTAAACACTGTAACTGTATGATATATATTTTTTTACATTTGATTCTGATGGGCATTATCTTTGAGGGATTTCTTCACAGATTTTTGTCCAGAAGTGTTGTGCCTGTGTTTTGACTGGCATCCCAGACGTTGACCATGGACATTCATTCTTGACCTTGGAAACAGTGTATGTGACACAGTAATCTCAGCTCCACTTACTAGCTTTTTGGGAGATTTCAGTTGTCTCTCATCAGCGAATAGATCTCACTCAGGTAAGATCAAGGAAGGAACTTCTGTCATAGGTACTTGTATATGGGGGTTGATGGTCATGTTATTCAATTCAATTTTTCAATTCAATTTCAATTCAATTTTATTTGTATAGCGCCAATTCATAACAGAAGTTATCTCAGGACACTTTTCAAATAGAGCAGGTCTAGACCGAACTCTTTAAAACATTAATTACAGAGACCCAACAGTACCACCATGAGTAAGCACTTGGCGACAAGGGCAAGGAAAAACTGCCTGTTAAAAGGCAGGAACCTAGGACAGACCCTTCGGCTCTAGGTGGGTGGTCGTCTGTCTCGACCAGTTGGGGTGAGAGAGAGAGAGGGAGAGAGAGAGAGAGAGAGAGAGAGCGAGAGACAGACAGACAGACAGACAGACAGGTGCACAGCAACGTGTTCAGAGACAATAAGGCCAGAGCTTAACCTGTCATGGCAGAGCCCCAGTCAGGTCAACTATGGTGCATGGTAACTGCAAAAACTACACAGACTCACAGAAACTATTTAGCAGATTTTGGTTGCATGCACTCTGAAAGTTGTTCCATATCATTTTACTGACTCCAGAGTCTCTCACCGAGTCTTTGAAGAAATAATATGGCTTTGGCTCTTAAAGTTCTTGATGTGAAAACAGAAACAAAGTGAAAATTGTGCCAGCACACACACCTGCACGTTGTGTAGAGGCCATGCAACCACACACAGAAATTCCATTTTTGTGCAAGACTGGATTACCCCACACTCCAGGGGCATGGATGACCATAGATTCAAGGTTATCCCTTTTTGCTACTTTAAAAAAGGAATCTATTATTTAGGCCTAAATGCATATCAGTATGCAATATAAACAGTTTAAGTATAACTTGAATAAAAGAAACATGAATTTACAGAGGGTTTCTGTGATACAAATCCTCCCGGACTACACTACCCAGCGTGCACCAGGACTGGCGTACATCGGCGCGATTGGCTGACGTAACCCCGCCCCTGATACTCCCCTCCTAGTCCTCTGGTAAACTGACACATTTTACTGCAGTGGAGCTCACCGAGAGCTCCGTAAACAACCACAGAAGAGCCGGAGCTGTCAGAAAATAAAACTATGGCGACTCACGCTAGCACGTGCTGCCGCTTGTTTAATAGACATAACAGTTTAACACATTTCAGGACACTGGTACAGTGCGTGAATGGGGACATTCAGCGACTGTACTCCAGTGCTACGCACAAGGAAAATAAACTTGAACTTGGAGACTCGACTTTATCTGCTCCCAACTTAGCCGCATCTCCGAAAACCAGGTCAACACAGGTAATGCTGACTCAAACACACTTCTTACAAGTCATTCTTGGTGCTGAGGTTTTCACTGTGAATGTGTAACCACAGGCTGCTTACTGGAGTCATGAGCTAACGTTAGTTTATGAGTGAAGGCATGGTGGGTGAAAGTGGGGTCAGTTTGAAACAGAGCCACAAGCTCTGCCCTGCTAAGGCTAAACTAGCAAACACTATTAGGCATTAAACATTAAACTAGCAACAACAACTGTGTTGCTAAAGGGGTTTGTTGGAGGACACCAGAGATTGTACAGTACGGCAGGTGCTTGTACCCCTCACATAAACACTGTGGTAGTTGGAACACACTAAAAACCTACCTTTGAGTTGGCTGTGGTTAATCTTATAGTGAAGTTATAGTTAGCCTATAGTATTGCTACAGTCATTCCTATAGTATTTCTATGGTTTTTCACGAAATTAATATAGTTGTACTGTATTTTTATATAGTATTACTATAGTATGTTCTACAGTTAATGCTATAGTTAATACTATACATTTACTAAAACATAATCATAGTATTACAATAGGAATGTAATATTGTGTGCTCAAGAAACAACTACAGAAACACTATATAATATAATATAAAATAGTACATGGTCTAGGAATACTACAAAGCTATAGATACATAGTGTTACTAATGAAATATTGTAGGGCTACTATAGCTGATAAGCACTACAGAAAAAAACTATAGTAATACTGTAGCTGGTAAACAAATACTATAGAACACTACAAACCTACTACAGGACATAATACAATTCCTATAGTAATACTGTAGTTTGAGAAGATCAGTGACAGGGGGAATTATAAAGGAAGGTATCTTATTGAAGGGTGTTTCTGAGAAGTAAAGATGGCTGTTGTTGGAGGTATTTTCAATTTTTGAATCAGCCTCAGTTACTGTGTCTTCTACTCAGAAACAAACAGAGAGGCATACATATTCAGTATTAAGTTTGGTACTGTGATTAATTACAGTGTGTGTAATCTACTCTTGACTCAAGTGTTTGCCTATGTGCTTATAGCTTCTGACATAACAGCAGCCCACTGTTGACAGTCAAAGGTCATCAGCCATTTACAAAGCCATGTGCAACACCCTCAGTGTGCCTGACTTTGTCAAGTCTTTAGATGACTTGATCCTTTTATGTAAATGTAACTAATTCAGGTTTATCACAGCCCCTAGTGTGTCATATCTTGCAAAGACTAATCAAACCATTTTCTCATTTAGGGACACAGATTCAGCCTCAGACTAATATTCTTTCACATAATACGAATAAGAAAAAAATAAATGCACAGAGAACAGAAGTCTTGTGTTTGATGAAAATTTTGATAGCAAAACAAGACAGCAGTGTTACTGTATCCTCATTATGAGCCATTTCTATGTCAGTGCCATTGTCCTGTTGTCTTTATTCCCAGGAGAGGCTAAGAGACGACAGAATACTACCCTTTTCAGCATTCTTGACTGACAGCTTTGGCCGGAGGCACAGCTACCTACGCATCTCTCTGACGGAGAAATGCAACCTCCGCTGTGAGTAGATGTTCCCACTGTGACATCTACTGCTAGTGCTAACACCACCACCACCACCACAACTTTTACTGATAATGTTAGATTGCACTGATCATCACAGGAATGCAGTTTTCTCTCCCTGTAGAGGTCAGGTTCAGCTGTAAAAAAAACCCAAACATCTCAAGCTGGTGATGCTTCAGCAGATGTCTCTAGAGATGGGTGCAGAACTTTCATCTGATTAAAGAACTTATTCTGAACATCACCTTAACAGTAGAGTATGTAAAGCGATGTTTTGAACATAGATTTTGTAAATAGAATGGCCTTTAACCTTTTGGATTTATACATTTAAATGGAAATACATGGTATGTAAAATTATATAAAAAGTAGTAGTAGTTTTAGTAGGATACATCAATGTTTACATTAGTTTTCCACATATTACTTAGAGTCACGTCTGTGGCACATTGGCCTTGGTTTCAGTTCCCAACATAACCTCACTTATCTGAAAGAAGGGAAATTTGTGATAATGTAGGTTAAAAGCATCTCTTGAGTGGAAAATTACATCTTTGGTGTCTTATTCTCATTTTACCTTCCACCTTACTATCCACCTCCATTTCCAGGTCAGTACTGTATGCCAGAGGAGGGAGTGAAGCTGACACCACGGAGCCAGCTGTTGTCCACCTCGGAGGTATTGACCCTGGCTCGCCTCTTCGTCCAGGAGGGGGTGGAAAAAATCCGCCTCACTGGAGGAGAGCCCCTCATCAGACCTGATGTACTGGATATCATCTGTAAGCAACTTGTGAAAGATTGAGTTGATAGGGGTTGTTAATTGAGTTGGTGTTAAGGTATGTTGTCCTTTGTGATTCCGGTGTGCCATCATTTATGTAGAAACACGGTTGTGTCCACTTCTACGTAAGATTGCAGTTTCTTTTTTTGAGACATAAAGCGAGGACATTAACAGCTGTTTTGAGTTGTTTCAACACTTGTTACCAACTTGTGACAAGCACAAACTGCTGCATGCGCTTTACCATATGACTAAGTGGATGCAGTGACAGTCTTTTCAGAGGAATGATTCAGCATTCAGTATCCAAGGCTATCAGTGATTTATGTGCTTATCCTGTTGGCGAGACTAGAACTTCCCAAAGTGACACAAGGAGAGGAGCAGGTCTAATCTTCCAGGCATGCCTCGAGGTTAAGGCATACTACATGTGGAAGGGGGAATGATTTGTTACACCACACATGTGCCTAGTCTAATGACATATTATCACACCATTTTGATTTTACAGCCTAATTTATAGATGAACCATTGCATCCTCGGCCACAGAGGATGATGTTATCGGAACATTAAAGCATGATGTGAATGAACAAAGCAATGTGGTGTGACTGATTGGTAATGCCTTTGGAGAAAGATGGCCATAGGCTGCCAACAGCCCCATAAAGATCAGCAATTATCACTGTGGTATGTGACAGGCCACCACTGTGACCTCACATGACCCTCAATAAAGTTTAGTGGAGTGAATCATTTGCAAATGAAACAGTAACCATTGTGGTTGTTTTTTAAATTTGATTGTATGTGCTTTCAGGGATGACAGTTATATATGCATACATGTCTTTCAGTGTTTTTAGTATTCATGCAAGGAGTGCAATTCTAGTCCAAAAGACATCACCAATGACATCATTATTAGACATTTTCATATTACCACTGCAGTTTTACTCTTCAGTCTAAAGGTGTCATGTATTAGCAAGCTAGCTTGAGTTTTGTCAGTTAGCTCAGTTAGCCGTGCAACTGTTACACTTGGCAGATACTGGTGTAAATATTTAGCACCACAGTTTTCTCTCTGTTTCTCACTGTTTCCCTTCTTTTTTCCTCTTCCTTGTTCCCATGTTTGCTCTCACACTTTGCAGCAGAACTGAGGAAGCTGGAGGGTCTGAAAACCATTGCAGTGACAACCAATGGCATGAACTTGGCCAGGCTTCTGCCAAAGCTCAAAGAGACTGGCCTTGACCTGATTAACATAAGCCTGGATTCACTGGTCCCTGCCAAATTTGAGTTCATTGTCAGGCGGAAAGGTAGGGAAAAGTATTTGACCCATAATGTCAGCTGCAAGACTGAAAGGAATGGTATGGTATGAAAAAGGGAGAGATTAGTAAAAGGATGTTAAAGGATGAAAGTGTTAGAGAAAAGCAGTTTTTGATGCCCTGCTACATATAATCTTAGAATAAAGCATTTCAGTATGTTTAACTGCAGCGTGTCTATCCCTAGAACATGGTGTAACAGTGTCAGCTTAGTTCCACGGTTGCAGCTCTCTTTGTCTGTCTAAAACCACAAGTTGTTGATAGCCTAAATCAATACTGTGTATATATGTGCCTATTGTTGTGGGCCAGTGCCTCTTTGTTACTGAAGGAACCTGCAAGCTGTAAATACAGGTGTAGCGGAGGTGACAGCAGGGCAGAGCTCTGGGTGGTTGGCGTATAGAAGGTAGACACAGATGGACTGACTGAGGTCAGGAAATGAAGGAGAGGAAACGAAGCAATGGCAGTACTGGCTCATCATTTTTTTTCTTCACAATTAATTTTTCAGTGAAAGGTTTAGCTGACACTAGATCGCTAGGTATAGCCTGAAAGAAATCTTGTCTCTCTGTAAGCTTATTTCAGATTTTGAGTGCAGCATATTTGACATTTAATTGCAATTATTAGAATTGTAGATCATTAAACAGAAGCCTCAGCCAGTGTAATCCTACCTGGATTTGTGGGTTTTATTCAGATGAAAACAAATGATGAGTCTGACCTTGGCAGTTTGCTGTGAAAGAGCTCTGGCTGCTGCTGAGGGATTACTTGGAGATGTTTACATACCACTGGTTTGTGGCAAGTCGTGAGCTTAGTCAGATCTTTAAAGACAGTGAACAGAGAAAGCACAACTTCTGTTTTAAAGGCCTGTAAAGCTGAGGCAGTGTGTGATCTCAGATTGTCTTGTGCCTGTCGTATGGTTCAATACATTTCAATCTAAAAACTTCCAACAGATCACACACCATCTCCACCTTAGATTTGAATTGATAGCCCAAAATTCAAAGATATCAAAGTATGATTAATGCGTTATTGCAAAACGTTGATAAGTTTAAACATTTCATCATCAATTTCTATCTCTGTTTTTTCCAGGGTTCCACAAGGTCATGGAGGGCATTGATAAGGCCATTGAAATGGGCTACAACCCTGTCAAGGTACAAGTTCAAACTTGCTTTTGCCGAGAAATATTTACTGTATTTTAGTTAATTTTATTCATTATTAAATCTCCTTTTTATTTATCATTTTTTCTTCATATGAAATTAGGACTTTTTGCTGACCTTTCTACAATATAAACATGAATATTTACTTTATGACTATTTTGACTGGAAAACAAAGTGATGTGATTAGTGAATAGGGATGTTACGATACACTCAACTCAAGATTCCTTTATTTCTCAGACAAAAATATACAAAATATATTTTCTCTTACATTTTCTTTATCAAATCATACGATCCTTTTTTATTTCTGAGGTAGGGTATAAACTGTGCAAAAATGTCGTGAGCAAGCAAGGTCAAAGTAGATAGTGCCATCTGCTATTTAAAGAGTGTCATGATTTATTTTTTATCTCACCAATTTAAATCTTCACGTGTGTATTGCAATTGAACTGTCTTGCAATATACCGCTATATACCTTTACATTCCTATTACTGAAGCAATTTTCAGTGAAGTTTGCTTCATCTTGTATTTATGACCATTTTTAGACTTTGTGAATACTCTGAAACCTTTATGGATACGTGTGTTCATTATTGGAGTGAGGTAAAACATTGGCCAACAGAACTGCTGAATATAATATATCATCCATATCCTATGACTCTTTGCCCAAAAAAAGTTACATAATCACCAACCTGCTTCCTGATGTAATGTATGTGACTAGTATTGCATACCAGAGTTCCCCATTGCACTGTGCATGGGGAGAATGTTAAGAAAAACAAATATCTGAAGTGGCTGACCTCTTTAGACCTAATCATTCTGTGAGGTGTTAGCTACTGCTGTGGGAGTTTTGGAATGCAAAGAAAGCGTAAAAAGTTCTTACTGTTAAGGGGTGACTGCGTGTTTGCTAAGATGTTAAGATGGTTAGCTTGACACCACTGACTGCAGAAAGCTCTACTTCCTCCTTTTCCAGAGAGGTTCTTGGCACATTTGACAAGAAGAAGCTAGCTGTAGATGAGATAGAGTGAGTCTGCAGTCTGAGTGAAGAGCCTATGTTTCAGATTGTATGTGCAGCAAATGTGTCACCAGAATGTAAACAAGAAAGAAAGATGGAGGAACATTATTCCCTGGAGTGACCACCAGTCATCGACCAGTAATGGATTAATAATCTGTCAGGAGTATTTCAAGTCTTGTAAAAACTACAGGCTGTGTTATTAAATATTGATGCATGCATCTCCAGTAATTCATTCTATCTGTGCAGATGCCTGTGTGGGTACTTCTAGCTACTGTGTGGTTTGGGCCTTGAACTTGGCATCCTTACAGTTGAGACGCAACAGGCTGCAGAGGAGATGAATGTACAGTTTAGTCATCAGTGCCTGTTGGTGTGTGCTGCCCTCTGTAGGTTAACTGTGTGATCATGCGAGGCCTCAACGAGGACGAGCTGCTGGATTTTGTGGCACTGACAGAGAAGAAGCCACTGGAGGTGCGCTTCATCGAATACATGCCCTTTGATGGTGAGTGCTCACTTCCCACAATGTCTTATCACACAGGTCTGAACAGCAGTTCTTAAATCATCCAATTGAATATTTACTGTATTCATATAAACCTTTCAAGAGTAAAGTAACACCAATGAAATGGTATTACCAAAATAACTGCAGTGTTAAATCAGGGTATAGTATGTTTTTAGCCACTCAGCTAAAGAAGAAAATTGTGTTCACTGTTCAGTTTTGCTTGCAGAAACATTACTGATGTACTATCACACACACACACAAGTCACTGGTTGTTGAATTGTCAGTAAGCTGAAAGATGCTGTAGCTTGTGATATGGTATAGCCTTCTCTGAGCCGCACTGCTTCTTCTCCTCTCTGCAGGAAACAAGTGGAACTTTAAGAAGATGGTGAGTTACCAGGAAATGCTGGACCGGATTAGGCAGCAGTGGCCCAACCTGGAAAAGCTTCAGACTGGACAGACAGACACTGCCAAGGTCAGTGTGTCTGACTGTACCGTATTCATTCATCCTGTCAGTAGCTGGAACACTGGCCAACAACATTTATTCTTCATTAGCTTAGTGTGCATTATTTCTCTCCGGTACTTAATCCTCCTGATCACCTGAAACTCTGTCAGACTCAGACCTTTCAGAGCACACTGTGGTATCTTGTCAGCAGACACATGTTTGTAGTGCTGCTGGTCGATTCATTAGTTAGCCAACACAAAACTGAAATCAACATTCACAATCTTCCGACAAATCTTATTCAAGACCAGATCTCAAGATATCAAGTGTCTGATGTAAGAGCGAGATCAGCCAGATCAGCCAACACTTCGGCTTGAATGCTTTGAACCATTTGTAAAGAAATTGTTCACATGATCATTGTTTAACACTTTTTTTAACAGACATTTCAAGTTCCAGGCTTCAAGGGTCAGGTGGGCTTCATCACCTCCATGTCTGAACATTTCTGTGGCTCCTGCAACCGCTTACGCATCACTGCAGACGGCAACCTCAAGGTAAAGCTACAGTTGTTAATTGTTAGGCTGTTAATGAGGTCTGTGACTGTGTTAATGTAGCTCACTTATAGATTTACATACTACCAGTACCTATGAATAATCTCATCCATGATTCTGTTTTCAATCTTTGACTGCTTCCTGTCTGTCAGGTGTGTTTGTTTGGGAACTCTGAGGTGTCCCTAAGAGATGTCTTGCGCTCTGGGGCACCAGATGAGGAGCTACTGCAAATCATTGGAGCTGCTGTGGGCAGGAAGAAGAAACAACACGCAGGTAAATTTGTGCACTTAGTTTATATGCAACACATCACTTGTGGAATATACTCTGAGATTATTCAGGCATTAATATCTTCTTGTTTGTGTCTTCAGGCATGTTCAGTATCTCCCAGATGAAGAACAGGCCTATGATCCTCATTGGTGGGTGACATGGCTGTACGTACAAATCACTGACACTCAGTTTGTTCTGTCACAATTAATTAATGATGTTGAGGTCATTTGTTTTCTACATTTACAGCCTGTTCAGCTCCAAGTTACATTTACATTTGAACTGATAACAATTACTAACTTTTATCTAGAAGGTGAATAATGTATCTTCATCTAAATATGAATGTTGTTTTATTGTCTTTATCCAACAGGCACTGCAACCCAAAGGCCGTTGTCTCTGCCAAAGCCACAAGACAACCAGAGAGCTTTCCCCATTGTCTGCCAACTTACAAACAACACATTCCTCTCTCCAACAGCAGCTCCTCACACGGGCCATTCAGGCAGCAGGAGAGTCCTGAACAGTGACGGTTCTTTGTGCCTTCCAGACTGCGCTGCTTCAACACAGGCAGCCAATGATTGCTGCTCTGGAACCTTAATGAGAGGGGATACCCAAGTCAGGTCACGTATCAACAAAGAAAACTCTAATGCGACGGACAACCTCCACCACGTAACACCCCATCACTCCTCTGAGTTTGATAATGGTCTCACTTTCACCAGTTGTCACACTAAGACTGCAAGTTTTACTACACGCACAAATGTCACGAGCTACACTAATGAAGACTGTCTCAGGTACGCACAAGCCAGGGGTCCTAATGCTTTGAAAAGCCACTTACTGAGGACCCCGGGAACACCTATTCTTTGCACACTACTAATCAATGCCAAAACAAATCTTAAACACTACAATGTTAGACTGTGCCATCAATCAAGTTCCAGCGAAGACCACACTGTCAAACTCAGACAGTTTGTGAGTGATCAGACCACATCAGACATCAACAGTAACCTGAATGAAGCCAGTGAAGCCCAGCTGACGCATACAGACGCCCAGGGCCGAGCCACAATGGTGGACGTTGGGGGGAAAGTTCCCACGCGTCGCACTGCCACAGCCCGCGCCACCGTCATCCTGGGCCCCACTGCCTTCCGGCTGCTTCGGGACAACCAGCTGGCTAAGGGCAACGCCTTGGCTGTGGCGCAGTTGGCCGGCATCATGGCTACCAAACAGACCTCAACCCTCATCCCGCTCTGCCACACGCTCCCCTTGGACCACGCCTCTGTCACCTTTGACCTGGATGAGGTGCAGAACGCCGCCATCATCACGGCAACCTGTCACACTACAGGCCGGACAGGAGTTGAGATGGAGGCTTTAACAGCTGTCTCTGTCGCTGCGCTGACTGTCTATGACATGTGCAAGGCGGTAAGCCATGACATCACCATCACAGATGTAAAGCTGGTCAGTAAGACGGGCGGGAAGAGGGACTTTCATCGTCACGCTTGACTTCCTCCCCCACCAATGAATCCAACACAGGAAAACTGAGAACGGACTTAAGTCATATTTATCTGCAAACTAAAGTTTATGCCATCGGAATAATGTGAATTATATATTTGTTATAATTACTCGATCTGTCACTGATCTTCACAGTCACTCTCATTTAGCTGTGCTTTTCAAACCATTTCAGTGTCATATATGAAATCATTTATTTGCTGTAATACATAACAGATGAAGGACTGCAGTGTTTCTGTTTATCTCTAGAGGGCACTCATGTATTACATTCACAAGCAAAGAACAAAGCCAGGACGTCCTCAGCGTTATTGACATGTTGAATGTATTTGTCTTTTATTAGCTCATGTGAACTTTGAAGATAATTCCATTCAGGATGAAGCCCAGGTGCCTGACCTGAAAGCTGAGCAGAGGAGTATGTTTCCGTGTCTTTCCCAGGTCTGCTGGTAGACATCATGTCTAATTGAAATGTCACATGCTCTGTATGCCCCTTTACTTACCTGCACTGATTTGCTGTAATTAACAGCACTTTGAATGTTTTTACAGTTGGAGTTTATTCAGTTGTATGAAGGGTAACTCGTTTTAGTTCTCTGTACTTCACTGGAAACAGTAGATATGTGTACTTACACCACCGGACAGTAGAGGATCACAGTAAGATGACTGTTTTTTAACTCTTGCTTTAAAATATCCACCATTCATATAATGGCTGATAACACAAATAATCCATTACACGACTAATGCTTTTCTTGTTTATTTGTTTTCCCCTCTCTTTACCCCCAGAAGGAACTTGATTGATTGTTGATTCGATGTCAGTTCAAAGTTTATAGTTGTATGTGAATGTGTCATTCTGACTGTGTGGTGATGCAGCCTCTATGTATTGCATGTCACATTTATGTTGTTAGTATTACTGTAGGTACCATGCTCTCCGGTCTGCACCAGCATCTCTCACCTGTTGTCTCTGGAGAACTGATTATTGATATTTTTGTGTCATAGCATATAGTTGATTGTATTCACTGCCTCCAGCTCTCCTCATTCACTGCTCATTTTCTGAAAGAAGTACATGCAAACTGCGAGTTGCTGGAGCATGTGTGGCATTTATTTTCCCTTATAAAAATGATAATATTCTACAGTCTTTCTCCTGTGATGTCTTAATGTGCTGAAAGTTGAGTATTTTGTTAGTCCACAAGGAGGTTTCTGTCAGTTACAGCACCCAGTGTGTCCCATGGTGTTTTATCTAAATAAACAGTAAAACCATATATGTATAGGGCTTTATCCCCGAGGACATTCATAATACGTATTTCAGTTGAACTGCTTTCTGATTTTATCAGTATAGGTAGCTTGAAGTCCAAAGTGCAGCAGTTGTTTTCTATGTTTTACCAGACTGAAAAGAAAAACAGGCCCACACATTTTTTTATACTCAGACTTTGTTCTGTCACTGGTAATCATGGGCTGATGATAGTGTTAGCAAGTCCAACAAATGTTGAGCAAAACAATATTAATATTACTAATTGCTCTGATTAGCCATTGCTATTGTTGGATACCAATATTGTTACTTTTCCACTGGCAGATGGAGCTGGAGGAGCTCCTATAAACCTTTGGTTTTAGTGACAGTGCTTTCATGTACTGCCAGAAAAAAATGCAGTTATGAGTCAATAAAATGGGAAATGGAAAAGAGTTATTAGTAAATAATTGAATATTGGAGGACATGAATGTAAAAAAAAAAAAGTACCGTTGTGAAATACAAATATGGCTAATTCACTGTTATTAACAATGTATAAAACAGTGTTCATTATTTCTTAATATATTTGATAGTTTTCAAAATGAAGACAATTGTGAGAGGTTTTACTCTACTTCGTTCTGTCAAAGTAAAACGTTGGTGTTACAAGGAACGTTGAAGGCTATGGAATGCCATTTTTTCAACCTTAAATGAATAACCACAAAAACAACAGAAAAACAAAAAAAAAAAAAACATAAATACAACAAAAAAAACAAAAAAAATAAACCCAAAACAACATCAAAAAAAAAACAAATACAAAAACAATAAAAGTACACACACAAGGCCACGGGTTTAAACCGGTTTAAAAAAGGCCTTAACAATCATCAAATACAACCACAAACACCCCCACATAAAAAAATAATAACACTTAAATAAATATGTCTCTGAAATAAAACCGGAAATAAATAAATGAGGAATGAATATATACATTTAAATATAAATATATAAATTAGTCAGTAGGTTTTTGTTCAAAAAAAGACATCTTTCATGTCAAATTCATAATTTTTTTTACTTTTATTTATTTAATAAATACCTATTTAACTATTTTGATATATTTATTTTTACATTTTATTTTATATATATATATATATATATATTGTCTCATTTATTTATTTAATTTTGAATAAAATTGCACTCCAAAGCAGCAGCAGTTACCATGGCAACAGTTGACAAACAGCAGCTAACAGGAAAACAGAATAAAGTCCAGTTGAAAAACAGTGGAAAAGTGACAGAAAGGAAACTTGGCTACAGAAAGAGAGAGAGAGAGAGAGAGAGTGTACAGCAGTAGTGACAGTAAAGGAGAGAGGACACTGAATAGAGGTTGGTGTTTAAGCATAATGTACTAATGATAACTGTGCTACCTCCACTGCGTAGTGTTCCACATTGTCTGCACATAGTGATGTTTGAGATTGTACTGCTGTTCTCCAGGAGCTGTGTAAACAGGAGAAGAATCCTCAACAGATTAAGAATAACACAACTCTGCTTAAACAAACACAAGACAGCCCTGACCGGAAGATGTCTGGGAGCAAAAAAGGTGGGTAGAGACAGAGCAGCAGGTCAAAGTATGTCGAATGTGGTAAAGGTCCTTCTTATGGTATTATATAACTAACGTTATATATAGTGTTAAAAACAACCTGTCCTCTGTCCCTAGATACCTTTAAGAATATCAGAGGCCTGGATGAGAATGAACAGCAGAGAATACAGCTGGAGGTAAATCATATAATGGTTCCAATGTCTTTTTAGTCTAATTTAGCAGTCACATATGTTAATATTTGCCCACAAATAAAAAGATATTTAACCTCAAAAACATAATAGACATTATTGTGGCACATTAGTAAAGCACTGAACAGAAATATCTAAAGGTTGCATTAGAAATCAATAATCCGGCATTGTTACCTGAAGTATAAACCAGCTGTGGATAACAGATAGTGTGAGAATATTGATTTATAGATTTACTTTACTGATGTTCCTGGTTTAATCACATTCAAATTTTTCTTGTGCTGGTTTAAAAACGTCTTTCTTAAAATTGTTCATCCACATTTGTAAGCAACATTTTGTTTTTTTCTGTACATTTACACAAAGTATTTAGTTTGCTCTTGCATCGCTGAGAGTCTGTAGCTAGATATACAGCCACAGCCAGGAGAGCGCAGCTTAGCATAAAGACTGGAAGCAGCGGGAAACAACGAACGGTGAATCATCTGCAATACTCCCTTTACCTTCATCCTTCTGTCCACAGGCATCTCTGCTGATGAGCAGGTCAGAAATTAAGAAGTTGAACAAGACTATTGCAGCAGAGCAGCTACGTATTCAAAACCTTGAACAAATCCTTGAGCAAAACAAGGACAAATTTCAAAAGGTTTTCAAGACGACTGAGAAGAAATGTTCGGATGCCAGAACGCTGTAAGCAGTAGTGGATTCCCTGACGTTGTGACATAAGATTTAAGTCAGTATTTCTTTCCCAATATTGTAATAATTGCAATGATGTTGTGTGTTGCCAGGTTAGAAAATGAGCACAAGTCCAAAGCAGAGACGATTGCTGAGGTAGAGAAGTTAACTGATGAAATAGGGAATGTGAAAAGGTAACGCTGTTCTCCATGTTTAATGTGCATAAAGTGATTGACCAGTAGGTGCTAGGAGAATAACCATAAATAATTCCAAAGCCATTCTAAAGGTATTAATCTGCCATGAGTATGTTTCAGTGGGATGCAGTGGAATCTTATATGGATATAAACATAGTCTTTCTTCTTCACAGTGACCTCTCTCAGACTGAGGACATCCTGAATAGATATAAGAGATACAAGAAAATCTTGTTCAAGCTGTCGCCTCCGGAGTGGCAGGAGGCCCAGGAGGCCGAGGCTTTTAAAGCTACAGTCCCGTCTAACAGAGACCCTCAGGATGAGCAGGATGAGGGGCCTCAGGAGTCAGCAGATAGGCAGGGTAAAAGTTAAAACCATCAACATATAAAGAAAGGACAACATGACAGCTCCCCAATGGTGAAGCCAAAACCTCTTGATCGCCCCCTGGTAGGGTTATATGTAGATGGTTAAAAGCCCAGAGAAGCAACAGGAAATAGAGGATAACTGCCAGGGGGAAGTTTGTTATTCCAGTACATGAGATATGAGATGACTATTGGAAGGCTGAGCTGTATTCAGTTGTTTCTACACCTTAAGTGCTAGATGCTGCTGGATCCTCACAAGAGACAGATTTTGATGTTTGGTGTGAATTGATGCAGCAGAGGCTCACATGTGCTGACCTTTAAGTAGTACTAGCAGTGTGATGGGAATGATAATGTGCACACAGGTTCGGAGAGAGGTGTGGAGTCCAGTCCAGGTCGAGTCCTGCCTTCTACTGGAGAGTCTACGCTGTCCTCGGTCCACAGTGACACACTGTAAGGAGACACCAACGCACCACAGCCATGATGAGATCAGTTTGTCCTGAAAAATCCCGTACTCTGATGCAGTGGATTTGGTGTTAGGTATTAGGCAAAATAATCACCAAAGAAAAACATACTCTCTGACCAACATCCCTTTATTTATTTATCACATGTTCTATTATTATTCTTGTTGCTGCTGTTTCATAAAGCCGTACAGAAAAACCTCTACCAAATGACTCTCCCCACACATATCATTACATCTCAATCTCTCCTGAGCCTAAACTCTTTCTTTCACATTTCAGGGTCACAAATTATAAAGAGGAAACGGACAGCTCTAAATATGAGGTCAGTTTTCCTGAAGCACTGCCATGTTTTATCTTGAGTGTGCTCATGCAGTTCTCACAGAGTGCCGTTACCTTCCCCCCTCCCGCAGGACAAACTGGAGCTCTACTTCTCCGATCCCCAGCAGCTACTGGTTCTGATGACGGACCTGACGGATCAGAACCTTTCCCTGATTCAAAACTCCACCAGGATGGATGAGACGCTGGAAGAGCTGCAGCAGACCTTCGAGACGGCCTCAAAGGAAATGTAAGCATCATATTTATTCAAAATGCTCATTGTAACCTGCAGTCCCTGCCTGGACATAATGATGTTAGACAAGACTGAATTATGTGCAGCATAAGAGGACACAACATGTACAAAAACAAGCTTATAACAATTATATGCATTATACTAAATATTGTAACTTCAAAGAGCGATGTAACATACATAAACATGTAAAGCGGGCACAAAGAATCCCATCAATCCTAACTCCTCTCTGTCTGAAGGAAAGAGGATGAAGAGAGGCTCACATTGCAGGTAACTGACATGCAGGAGAAGATCGACAGAGAGTCGGAGAGAGCTGCTGAACTCCAAAAGAAGGTTCAGCTCCATGACTCATTAAAAACCGAGGACCAGGTAAACAAGCAGAATGGACTGTAATGATAATAATGATCATTTTAAATTTGCACTTGGAAACAACACCCAGAAATCATCTGAAGTGGTGTCAGTAAACTGCACACAGAATGTTAATCCTTGCTCCATCTCCTTTCCTCCTCCTTCGCTCCTCCTTCCCTCCTCCCCTCTCATCTCCCTCGCTTCCTCTCCTCGCTCGCAGGATGTTTTGCTGGATGCTCTGGGCAAGAAGGTGACAGAGGTGCATCGCTGCTGCTTGGATAGCCGGTTGTCCCACCTCAGCACGTTGGAGAAGCTGTCCAGTGTTGAGTACCGCATGTCTTTGCTGCTCCAGCTCATTGAGAACATCCCTGAAGAAAGCTTGGAGGCACTGAGACAGATCAAGGACAGTGAGAGGATGAGCAGGTTTGCTTTGTTCATGCAGTATACTGTATATACATACTTTAGACAACATGACACATTAGCAAGTAGATGCTGTAATTCATCCAATAGTATCAAGTATTCATAGATTCTGTAAGTTTTTATGAGCTAGAAAGAGTAGATGATTGTTTATGGATTTAAATGTAGAAGTATGTTTTTTTGCAGACACACATTATTGTTCCTAGCAGACTATTTGTATATATGTCTTAATGTATGTCTGGGGGGAATCTTGGTTTAGTAACATCATGTTTGGACTCCAAATGGCTCCAACATTCACTCAAACTTTTGAATTATTGATTTTTTAATCATATAATTTTCAAATTTTAATTATATGTGTAAATGGCTGTGTTTCACGTATGAGTGTAATAATAGTGTGGGGGCAGTAATGAACAGTAACACACAGCACAGCAGTTTGTGGGAGTCCTGGCATGGACAGATGTCTCATTCTGGCTTTTCTGTCTTCAGTGGGAAAATACGATGTACAGAGTAAACTAATGGTAATGTGAGGAACTGAATTGTGCTGTTTCCCCAAACAGCATGTTACATGAGAACCCCTTCTTGTCGTACATGCTATATCACGTTCCAGGCTGCGTGAAGAACAGCTGAGACTGGAGAGGGAGAAACAGAGAGAACGGATGAAGAAGTGCATGCAAAGATCCCTGGGTGACTCCAAGAAAAAAGTAAATCATTCACTTTAAAATGGATACATGTACATTTTACGTTATACATTATATCACACATCAACCGGATTTATGGGAAATGTAGTTGTAATTTGGAGAAACATTAATAATAACTACCTATCTCAGCACAAAAAGATGTATGTTGAGAAATTGAGATTTTTTTGTGGGAAAAGTTTCTTTTCTGCTCTAATGTAGTCAGATCAATCCTTCTCGGTAATTACACAAACCTAAAACATTCTCTTTCTCTTTTAGAGGGGAAGAAAGCTCATGTCCAGATGCTTCCCTGTAGAGCAGAAGACCAAAGTCAGTGATGAGGAGGACAGCATTCCTGCTGAAGATGAACTCCAGGCCTACCTCTTCACCAATGAGGGCGCGGAGTAAAAAAAGGAATTAGCACATACTGTATAATGTTTGAAAGAAAGAAGTAGAATATAAAGGATAATACTGCAGTTTACTCTCTCTGAGGGTGTGTGAATCTTCAACTGCTTTCCAGAAATACATTTAGTTGTTTTGATTAGCTTCAAAATTGAGAGAGCTACTGGATCTGATAAGATTATACTTTATTGAGAGGAATTTAGATATTACAGCAGCACAAGGACACAAATAAGTACCCATTAATAGAGAAATTAAAAATATATAAGTATGAGTATATAAGATAAAGACAAATATAAAATAGAAACTTTAAAAGAGATATTCAACTCAAATTCAATTTACAGGCTATAACAGTACACATTCATACTATTCGTGTTGTACTTCAGCTAATAGTGCAACACTGTCTCAAGCTAAGTGACACAGTGGTGAGATTGGTTGCAAGTCAGGAATGTATGGTACATGTAAGAGTAATGTGATAGATCTCACCAGAATATTATATACAGTGGTATGACGATTCATTTTGCAATAGACAGTATAACATATACTGTATGAGTGTGTGTGTATATACATGTGGGTATATATATACACATACATGGTATTACAACATAATATAGCATAACAGTATAATATAGTGCAAAATAATATGAGGCGTGGTGCATAAGGTGAAATATACAGTATACCAATCTCAAGTACAGCAATGTATCACAGAATAAGATATATGATAAGTGGTGGAGAACTTTTATTTTCTGTGCAAGTGTTTTTACTCACTCAGAGTGAATAGGTTATTAGGAAGTCATTGATACTGAAGACTCCTGAGGCAGTTGCAGGGTACCGGCAGGCCCGAAGGACTGCAGCCACAGCGGTGAGGGAAGCAAAACAGCGGGTGTGGGAGGAGTTCGGTGAAGTCATGGAGAAGGACTTTCAGACGGCACCCAGGCACTTCTGGAAAACCGTCCGACACCTCAGGAGGGGGAAGCGGGGAAACATTCAAGCTGTGTACAGCGGGGATGGGACACTGCTGACCTCAACTGAGGAGGTAATTGGGTGGTGGAAGGAACACTGGGGAACTCCTGAACCCGACTAGACCAACAAACCCGCCCTTTGTGATAGAGGCAGGGCTGGAGTGTGATGGGGGATCTACATCAATTTCCCTGCGGGAAGTCACTGAGGTAGTCAAACAACTCCACAGTGGCAAAGCGAGATGAGTCGTCCAGAAATGCTGAAGGCTCTGGGTGTTGAGGGGCTGTCTTGGTTAACACGCCTTTTCAACATTGCGTGGAAGTC